ATCAAGAGGTGATTGGAGACAGAGTTGAGTAATTGGCTGCGACAGCAGCAAGCGGTACAAAGATAAAGTCAATACAGCCTAATTGGGAAGAAACAGAAAAGTCTCAGAACTCCTGGAAAGGAATTCAGTCAGTAGTTGCTGTGAAGAATCAAAATATCTCCCTTCTTCCAAAGTGTCTGTAGCAGGAAATTATCAAAGAACAGCATTAGAGTCCAGAATTCAGTTCAAAGGCATTCACAGGGAAGAGCGCTGACACAAGGCATCATCATGCCAGGGATGATGATTATTGTTGTTGTTGTTGTTGTTGTTGTTATTATTATTATTTTGCATTTCAGAAGGGCACAGACTAGTTAACATTGCCTACAGCTGGAAAGAATAATTGAAAGGTTAAACCAGTTTTTTAAACTTGTGTGGGTGTAAGCATACAGGAGCACACAGACTGTATTGGTCAGATGTTTATCATTGTAAATCAACAAAGTTAATTGTAAAACACATTGCTAATTGAGCAACAGCTGCATTTTTCCAGTGATCAAGATTTGAAGATTAGGCAAAGCAAAATGAGTTTGTCCTGTTTAAAAAAAAAAAAAAAAAGAGGCAACAAATTCATTTCCAGACCTACTTATTTTTTTTTTTTTTTTTTGCTCCTCCATAGATGCAGCACTGGGCTACTACCTTTGACAGAGTAAATACTGCCTTAATTCTTGCTTTTCTTTGCTGTATGGAAAGGTCCTAAAGCATAATTGTGTTTTCCTACTATCTGTCCTTGGCTATTTAGGTTGTACTGCCACCTGCTGGACTATCGAAAAATTCAGTATATTTTTCACGTTCTGGATATATTATGTATTGAAAAATATTTGGAAATATTTTTCAATACATAAGATTACATCTTAGAATCTAAAGTAGCACCTATATTTGTAAATGTCTGTAGCGGCCATGAAAATTAATTAGTTATTAAAAATCTAAATTACAAAATCTGGGGCATTTTAACTGAGTCATCTTATGTAAGATTTTAAGATATTGCTGGTCATTAGCAATATGTAGGATATTGCTGGTCGTTAGCAATATTTTCTAGGACCCAATTAACTTTCAAGATTTTCTATTAGTTCCACTACTATTTGAAATCTTTTTATACTATTCTTCCGTATATTCATGGTTCTTTGCATCTGTCTACAGTACAATTTTGTCATATTTGTATTTTATCATGCTTCCATATTTATATAAAAGCTTCCTTGGATTTCTGTAAATTTCCAAAATAAATATTTCATATGAAGTTATTTACTTTCTTGTTTTATGGGTAACTGTCTCTTTTTGCTCATCTGTGAAACTTAGTACTTAGGAAGGCAAATAGCCCTGGTCCTTGCTGAAGCTACTCGGTTAACAGTAAATATATACTGTATGAAGACTTGTTTTTTAAAACCCTAAGAAAATTAATAACCTTGCTGCAATATCATCTAGGTTTGGGATTGGATTTTTTCCCCTAACAAAATATTTGCAATATTTTCATGCCCACAATCAATATTACATTGCCAAAGAGTCAGCATTCAAAAGCTTCGGAGAACAAGGAGAAAGCATCCCATAATAAATCTAGAGCTGCCATTCAGCCAAGGGCTAGAGACCTTTTGCCCATGTTTTAATGCACTGAGCTCCTCTCACTAAAGCTGCCTCCTTTAGGGAGCTGGCAAATATAAAGGGACATCTGCCTGAGCTGTTATATTAACACCCAAGACTTCCCATTAAAATCATACTCCTCTGGCAGTCCCAGGTTGAACTGCACTGACCTTTTCTGCCACTGCAGTCAGTAACAATGATTCTGTTGTCAAATAAGCCGTCCCCAAACTCTGACCTCTCCCAGAAATTACAAAAGCACTGAAATGGGCTCTGAATGGGCTTGATTGCTGTATAGCAGCAGAAAATAGATATATGAAAACGGTATAGTGCAAAAGTTGAATAGCCTTTGACTTCATTTTAAAGTAGCTTTTTTATTACATTTGTATGTCACCATTCTTCTGAGGAACTCCGAATATACAGAATGGAATCTAGCACCATTACTATAAAATGGGATTTCTTTTCCCCTGTGGCAAGTCCTCATAACCTAGATTATATAGATCAGCCTGCAGAATTCAGTCAACCACCTCCCTACAATAATTCCTTTTGAAGCAAGATTTTTTTTCCTACTCAAGATGCTTTGTGGCACGTAGGGTAAAAATGCTTATGTATGAATGAGGTCAGATAAAAAATCATGTTTAATTGTTAGGAAGAAATCTCATGCTATTCTATTGGTAACCTTAAAACTCTTGACTCAAAGGTTTAAGTGCTTTAAATTTGAGGGGGGGGCACTTTAATCATTTGTTATTCTACTCCCATCCCCTAAGTTGCTGCCCTTAAAAATATATTTTAACCATTTGAAATTTCAACCCTGTGAATATTATGTAAAGATATATTCTCTGTAAATCAGAGTAATCCTACCATCAAATGTCTTCTTTAAATCATGTAAGGGCTTAAATTAAAATACATTTTATGTTCTTTTTTTAAAAAATTCTCCTCTCTATTTAATCTTAAAAGCATTAAGCAGAAGCCACAAGTTTTGTCAGTATTCCAGCTTTAATTATATAAAGATACTTTGAACATCTTGAGATTTCCTTTCATGAAATACAGTTGATTAACCTTGTTCATCTTTTGAGAGCAGTGTGTAAGATACCAGTCAAACAGTACATACAAAGTAAATTAAAAGCTCAACAGTATTTAGAATAAGACTCCTAGATTTCATGCTGAGCCCTATTCAGGTTGTTATGAGTCAAGTGCCATGGAAAATTTACCCATGTGCAAAATACATGACAGAAAAAGAAAAGTATAATAAGAAATTATACTACAGAAAAAGAATAGAATATTAATGATACTCCAAAGACAAGTGAAACTTGTTACTTAAGAAATGTTAAAATGCCCTTTGTTCTACAACTGCAACTGATGAGGTAATTTATCTCTTTCCCACTCTTCCCCCACCCCACCAAATCATGCCTCTTTTACTGTCCTGCTATATGGTACTTAAGAAACACCTAAAGTCCTAATGCTATCGGTTTAGTAATACTGCAAAAGGCTTACGACAGAGAACCTTAATATTTAAAACAAATCAAATTTTATTTTGAGAAGTCTATAGTGTCTTTACAATGTGATTTTTTTTTTGTCTTTCCAGAGAAAGAGCTCAAAATGCTTCGTCATGAGAATCGGAAGACTGTAGCGCTTTCAGCAGCCATCATACTCTTAGTGTTTGTTATTTACACCTGCTGGACCATGTAACATTTAGGTGCTGAAATCTAATGACTACTGTAGACCCTGATGATTCTACCTCCCTTCCCAAATTGTGCCAAGGGTAAGATCAGCTTTCCATACCAACATGCTCTGCAACGTAGACCATCTTAGCGTAGTCTTCCAAAAGAACTTCAGTAGAAAATTAACCAAGGACAAAAGGCAGGGTTAGTTGGACCTTCCAGCTGATGGCTAGGTAACGGGATTGTGAGGGCAGGTTAGTTGCACCCTGATTGTAGAATTGCCTTCACAGAGGCTGAGCTGGGGTCACTGCATTTTTTAATGGCAGGCAATATATCTTTATATAGGCTTCTATGTCTTTCATTAAGTCCTTTTAATCATGTTTAAAATGTTTTTAATTGATAGATTGTTTTGTGAGCCAACTGACTACTTTTATCAAACTCTATTAATTTTTTAAGGGAAGAAGTTACTGTATAGTTTTGCCTTCTTTGAAAAAAATGTCAATCCAAGTGATTATTAATATTTGCATTTTGAACTGAAATAAAATGTAGAAATTTAAAAATAAATATGCTTCCCTTTTTTCCTTTTCATTTTCCTCGGTCAGGTCTCCCGTCAATTCTTTTATCAGGAACGCTTTGTAATTCTCCTTCCTTTCCTGACTTTTAAGTTTTTCACCATGCTAGAGTTAATTGGCTTGACATTTTCCTGACTGCAACAATGCCTCAAGTTCAGTACCTATTAGCAATACCTATTAGCACCTCCGTTGTTGAAGGAAGAAGGCATTCTAATGCTGTCAAGCTGCTTTGTTTTGCTTTGGAAATACACTCATGGTTCCTTTTAGTTTCTGCTTCAAATATGCACTCAAGCCTCATTCATTTTGTTTTCTACTTTGGCTCCCTCCTTTTGTATCTGTGATTCAATTACATCTCTCTGTCCAAAAAAGTATATAAATCACCTTTCAACTTTGCTGTTTTCAGTAAGAAAACAAATTCTGTTCTTACTTCCTTGCAAATAAATAAATTGCCCATGTGTGTCTGTTTTAAATCCTTTTTCTTTAACATAATGTAAATGTTAGGACTGCATTTTAGAAATGACTTGCTTCAAAGTGATCTGAGCACTTCTCTATACATTAAAGCAGCCTATTTTTCAGTCTCCTGCCTAAACCTAAAAAAGATATCACAACCTTTGGAGTCATCAATTCATCAGAAGTGACTATCACTCTTCAAGCAGCCTCCCCAACATGTAATCTAGCATTTTGAAGGTAAAATTCCATTTTGCCTAAATATCAGTTGCACAAAGCGAAAGAACTATTTCAAAAAGTCTGTTAACACTAGCAAAGTACCCCTGCTTGAAGTGTTAAAGAAGCTGCCCTACTCTTCAATTACTCTGCATGCATGCCCAAGTGGTTGTATATAAGCAGACCTTCAGATGGCTTTTGAAGGAGCCATGTGGAGCCATGTGAGGCTTCCAAAAGATGTGGTAATTCAAAGCTTTGAGGAGAATTACTTTGCTTATAGTAGAGTGGACATTTATTTCAAACCTATATATATCCTAACCATATACTCCCAATGTGCACAAAAATAAAACAATTTTGTTCAATTTTGTAAGAAAACAATCCTTGGGACAATTCACTGAACATCTGTCTCTTTTCTGCAATCACTTAACAAATTATAAAGCTAGGTAGGAAAACTATGTTGATGTATTTATGGTATATATTGTAAATTAAAAAATGGCATATTTCACAAAATATGAGTTCTATCCAAAACAGCCCTTTTTCTATACAGTCTTCTGTCAACTACATTTCCTAAAATCTGACTACTACGGATTGGACATATTCTAGTGATGTTACACAGAAGCAGCCAGTTTTCTGATGGGGTTTTGGCTCTATAAGGGAAACACATATTTTTTGCCCCAAATTTAAAATAGTTTTAAAATAGTTTTTCTGTTTCCTCTGAATGTTATCCCCAGATCCACCCTATGAAGCAGGTTACTCTGAAACAGTGGCAGACCTAAAATCACTCCGTGAGCTTCAGAGTCAAGTGGTGGCAGTAGTTGTTCTTCCTCAGCCCGGAATGTATCACAAAGAGCTGGAATGTTTATGCCAAAAAGAAAACACATTTTTAAATTATAAGGATTGTATTGGCAATGCAAAGAATGGACAAGAAATCATCACAACTGATACATGAGTTCAGAGAACACATACTGTAAACATTTCTTTCAGCAAGACATTTTACCTCCTTCACAGACCAGTAAGAGAACAAACAAGAACAAGTTGAACTATCCACTGATCAAATCTTTCTAATTTTCTCTTTGTACTCTTGACATTTGGGCTCTGAATCAACATGAAGTCGTTTTTTTCAGGACTGGTATAAATTTTGTTTTAAGGTTTCTAGGCACACACTCTCTTAATATTTTTAAATCCCTTAAATAGTTTCCCTAGGAGAAAGCCACAAAACAGGGCCTCTAGTTACAGCCAAAGTGAATTAAATCAAGGCAGATAAGTTGTGTACCACTGACTTACTCATATACAAGCGTATCTATCAATCACTCAATAACAGAAACTAAAATCAATCTTGCAATGAAATCTTCCTTCTGAAATATTCTAACTTGTGATGAATTTAACTAGAAATATAATCTGAAAAATTGACAACATGTTGTATTTAAAGCAAAATGACTCTTTGACCTATTGGTTACATAATGATAGTCAGGTAAAAAGTGACAAAGTTTCTTATCAAATTATTTTAAAACCAACGCTATGAACTGTAGATGTCAGAGATTATTTAATCATTGTCACTTCCTATTGCAAATAAACACTCAATTTGCTGTTTTACCCTCTAGCCTGCTCAGGCAAACAATTGTATTGTATGGGAAAGCAATTTATTTTGAAACATTCTTGCCAAAAGAATCTTAAAAGCTACATCTTTGTTTTGGAACTCTCAGAGAGATTTAGCAAATCTCAGAACTGAATCTCCAATATTAAGTGCTTTTGTATACTTCAGCCTTTGAGAGAAATGGGGAGCTTTAAACTTCCATTCTTCCCAATATTTTTTCAATAGAGGAATCTAGAAATAAGATGGTATGAGATGTTGGCAATTAAACTACATAGCTGCTATTGCTAAAGTGCAATATTAACCTATACTATTCTTGAACTGGCTCTGAAAGCTAGAACTATTTCTTTTAGCCAAGATTAAGATTTACTGGCAATGTGCAAACATTTCTGAATTCAAAATATTGTGAGTTCAAAACAGTGGTTTCAAACATTCTAAGTGTTCTGAAACATCCCATTGTAAGTATAAAACTATTTCAAACTTGAACAAAATTGTTTTCAGACTTGAACAGTTCCAGTAAGAACCACCATTCTAAACATAGAACAATTCTTTCAATCACAAAACATCTTGAATTCAAATATTTTGCTCATTTCTACAGTATGTAGAATTTAAAATTTCTCCTGTGCTAGTCAACTTTAATGGAGATAAAATCTATATAGAAACTTCTGCTTTCCCACATCAAATCCATTTTTGACCATTTTCTTTAGGAGCTGAGACCTGGATGATGCCTTCACTTACAGGACAGTCGTATTTCTTTTAAGACACAACCTAGGCAACACTCTCAATTACAAAATCAATATCTTCTTGCCAATGTGTGCAAAGGTTCAGTTTTAAACTTCTGAAGGCTAAAAGAAGATGCTCTCTTTAGAAGTATGCAGCTCTTTCACGGGATCTAATTTATATAGTTCCTCTAAAGCCAATTCTCTAAATTGCAAATCTCCTTTACTTTCTGAAGGGAAAGTACTGGGTATAGAATTCAGAGAGGAAAATACTTGGACTGCCATATTTGAAGGTGGAGCGTGAGAAAAAGCATAATATATTCACTTGCATAGAAGCATGAAAGTCCAACTTTGTACCTAAATTACTAATTCAAAAACTTTAGCTGTCTGGTTCCTTCCTGCTAAGACCTGAACTCTCAAAAACTTCTAGGCTGCATTCACAAGCCAAATTACAAAAACCAAGTACACTTCTCAGTGGATTCACAGAGAAAGGAACAAGAAAGATTATTAAAAGTATATTCATTTTTCTGTCCTTTAGTTTTGTCAAAAGTTGTCTGGCCTTCCATTTTACAAAATGTCACGTGTTCAATGCATCCTCTTCTTTTGTTGCCTACTAGTAGAGCCCAGTTGTCCGGAGGAGGGGGGAAGCCCTAGAAGATCCAGTGATGATCCATTCAGAAGAACGTGCACTGCTCTAGTCTTAATGTGGCCAGGAAGCAGGTACTTATATACTGCACGGTTTCCAATCCAAAGCTTTCTCCTATTTCTCTTGGACCAAGTCCTTATCATCCAATCGAACCACTTTGAAAAGTATTTTTCTCTGTGGCTCCCTGCTGACTATTCCACACCTGGGTCATTCCCCATACCCTAAGATGTGACGAGAGAGTAATCACAGGGTGAAATGTTGTCTGATGAAGGATAGAACAGTTTCTTTCGATAGTTTCTCTGAATCTTCTTTTTTCTGAGAGTCGTGCATTTTGATACCATCATCCCATTCCCAGAAGAGGCGACCAAAGTAACAAATGCTGCATGCAAAAAAGATACAAAAGAGTGTAAATATTTGGCCCGACTGATGCATTTATTTCAAAGATAGTCATCCTTTCCAGCATGAAAGGGTGGTATACGGCACCATCCAATTTTTCCTAGAAACAACTATAAGCAACGGGTTAGGCCGAAAGATCATGAATGGCATGCAGTCACCACTGGAACCTTCATAGCTATGGGTGTCCCTGGTCCTAAACTAACAGAATACCATCGACACTGATTGTAGGTATAAGGACTCCCAATCATGAACATTTCTAATTTCTCAAAAGTATCAGGGCAAATGTATGTGCCTGAGCCAAGTAATCATGGACTGTACCAGGTTAAATCAGAGAGACGCATTCTTGCAGGGCCTATGGACAAAAACTTTAAAGAAAATATAAGCATAATTATTTAATGACTATTATGAGAATTGGCTCACTTACAGTACTATTGTTTTCATAAGCACAGCAATACCTATCACGATAAGCTAAGTATGATGCAGCAGGGGGCCTGAAATATAAAAATGCTCATCTGAAACCCGAGGTTCTGATACAAAAGAATTTAACATTTATATCACACTAAGGCTCTTTTTATAGGCCTTTGGCATGGTGTACATTTATTTTCAAAAAGAAACAAATTATATATGCTTAATGGTATCTAGCCATACTAATAAAGGAAGCTTAGGGTTGACATGAGGGGTCTTTGGTGCTGAGCTTGCTTGTTTTCTTGCAGACGTTTCATTACCCAAACTAGATAACATCATCAATGCTAGTGACTGATGATGTTACCTAGTTTGAGTAATGAATCGTCTGCAAAAATACAAGCAAACTCAGGGAGCACCAAGGACCCTTCATATCTACCCATTTGTAAATCTGACAAAATATGAAGAGTAGAAATTCTGTCTATAACTTCACAAATTAAATTATTTCTTATTCTGACGTTCAGTTAGTCTGCTAAATTTTTATTATTAAGACCAAGACAATCCCTAAACTTAATCAACATGTTCCTAAAAGGCTATAATGGATTAATGATAGTAAAGGAAAAGAAAGAAGGATGGGAGAGACAGAATTATGGATTATTCATATTTTTATTGTTTGTTTGTTTTTTAAACCTGAATACATATAAATATATAGAAGAGAATAGTCTCCAAAATAAAGGAAACAGTACTCTGAGGAATTTATTAAACTCTCACTTCTTCAGCCTTTATGGACACAGCAACCAACTCTAAAAACCAGGGGCAGGGAGACGAACCAGTATGGTTAGGAACTACGTTAGGTTGCATTACCTACAGCAGGGCCATTCCAGCATCTCCATTCTAGATAGCCTGATTGACCCCATTAAGGGAAAAGATTAGGTAATTAAAATCCTAATCAATGTCTACATGTATATATGTTTGTTTTTATACATTTCCAGATCTATTCTTCTGTCGCAGGGTCAGCATGTCAAGAGTGAAACGTTTCATTTCAGCTTGCCATCAGAATTGGGGGGGAGGGATTGCTTTAGAATGGATTAGTTTACAAAAGTGAAACCTATGATTCCGCTGAAGACCATGAGTGCCTTAAACCTTTTCAAGGACATCATGACGGGTGGAGTTGAAGCACACAGTTCCCATAACAAAATGAACTTGTTTACATGGACTATATGAGAACTTGGGGGTTTGGCTGGGGAAATTATCATTTAATTCTGGTGTCTGGGAACCTCAGAGTGAGTTTTGCTTTGACATTATCATGCAGTGTATTCAATAAATAGTAAGATTTTCAGAAACTGAATGGAAGTTTTATTTGGATTCTTGAGCTGGATGGTGACACTTACATACCTCCTATTGTTTCACACAATTACATTGACTTAATTTATTTTGTGGCATTAGCTTTACATTTCCCCAATGATAGTCCATAGTTAGCAAGGAGGGAGAGGAAATCTGCCAAGAACTGCAAAGTGGAAATGTCTATTTTAAGCTGGATTTGTAGACTTGCAGCATTAGAAGTCAGTATCTGATCAAAGATGGAGAATTTTTTGTCTTTACTCCAGCGCCTTAATTAAATGTCTAACTTCACCTAGATCAAATATTCTGCAGAATCAGAAGGACTGCTATTGCAAAGGCACCCAAACCTAGACATAGAAGATAAAATACCAAAAACTATTTTATTTGTATATCATGTCAGAAATAGATGGATGGGATGACAGTCCAAAATAGAAATCGAGAATTTTAAAGCACCTGGCAAAGGAAATGAAGTAAACTCCCAAGAATATATAAAAATGGATTACATAGAAAGATCTGACAAAATAAATGCAGTAGGAACCATAGCAATTTTCTAGATAAAAGAAACTCTGTAAATTCAGAACTTTTTATAGAATTGTGTGCTCATATAGGCACACCTGTTCCTTATTCTTACTGAACAAGTACTCCAGAGCTCAGATTCGCTTCTTGATTTGAGACTGCTGACAAATTGATAAAAACCAAGCACTTCCAGCAAGAAATGTAAAACCAATTACTGGCATTTAATATTCAGTCTATTTAGTTACAGTATTTTAAGAGATTGATTATTGGACTCGAAACATTGTGTCAAGAACATATATCAGTGTCTAATTATAAACACACTAAAGCTCACATGGTAATGCAATGCATCCATTACTAAAACCACACTCAGAATAGTTCCAGGGCTCAAGAAGCTTCCTTCTACTAGTGAAGTATTGTCCGGAAAAGTATTTGGTGTGATGATAAAAGAAGAAAGTTTGCACAAAATATTATTTACTGTTCTTAGAGAGCAAAGAAAAGAAGCTCAAAGGATTCACATTATCTGCCAAAAACCATCACTGAAAGAGGAGGAAAACTAGAAACAAATCACGGAGATCACAAATCTTGGCAGTCTTGGATGTGAGAACTATATTTCACCTTCATTAAAAGGAGAAACCAAAGAATAATATATTTACTATGCTATCCATCCATCCATCCAGTTACCCCTTTAAATGTTTTCCCCCCGCCCCAACTATTCTTTTAATTTAAAAAATGGGAAGCTGCAATGCTGCAAAGATAAGCATTAATCTTTAGGATCATGTTTCTTGAAAAAGTGCATCTGAATCTGCAAAAAAGAGGGATGGCTGCAGCTCACTTCTGTTTGAAATCACACTCATCTACACACTTTCTACACAGCAGAAAGCATGATGGAAACCTAGAAGTGATAGCAGGAAACAAGATGGTAAATAAATGAAAATTTTGTGAATATCTATAACCATGATGGCAACCTATCTCCGCTCCCACCCGAAATAATAGCAGTTTTAGAAGTGCGCCCTTACCATGTTCTCAAAATTTCAAAAGTGCAAATATCAACTAATTTCCTGTGCCTGGTTGAATGACAAAGATTGGTAAGGAATAGATGAGAAAACTTACAAATTAGGCACTAATAAAATTGTTTAAACTATTTTGAGAAAATTGAGAAAACAATTGTTCTAAAATTCTTACAGAAATTCACGTGAGAGATTCAGAGAAAACCTTGAAGTTACAGAGTGAGAAAATGGAAGAAAGATAATAGAGAAAAATAGAGAAAGTTTCATCAGAAAGTTATGAATGAGAAAAGCATCTCTGAGAAATAAATCTGTACATCTCTAGCTGACAGGAAAAAGAAAATCCAGCCTTCTTTTATGGCATAAAAGCAGAGGGAAGTGAACAGTTGAGCACATTTCTTACAGAAAGCAGCTGCAAATGTAAAGGAAGTCCACAAGATCAAAGACTCTCATCTCAAAAGAATTTCAGGCAAGTAAATCAAAACAAGATTTTTTTTTCAAAAATACAAAACAGAAAGATTGTGAAGCTGACTGAAGGCTACAAGAAACTCCACAAATTTAAGATCATAAAGCATTAGATTGGTTGTTGGAATGTTCACATCTTTGTTTCTTCCTTGACTGATAGAATTGTGTCCTGGTTGAATTCCTCTGAAGTACTGATCAGAGGAAGGGGTTTTTCTAAAAAAAAAAATCTCCCAATAAAATAATGAATTAAGTTTAATCAAGTAGAAAGACATCCCATATCCATTTCCAAAATACAGACTGAACAAGGCAATCTGCTAAATGTATTTATGTGCAAGCTGTAAAGCAATCTGTACTTCACATGTTGCTTACAAGTATCTTTAATGTGTCATCAGATGCAGAAAGTCATTTACAACTACAAAAAAAGCTCAGACATCCAAGATGGTGCTTTGATAAAAGGAATAATAATTGTAAAGGCATAAGAAAGAATTAAGGAAAGAGCTATGAGTTAAAATATAATGTAAGCTCATTATACAGTAAATTACAAACAAATTCAAATGGAGTTTATTTATAAATGATATAAAGAGTTTAACTGAAAAACAGTTGATGCAAACGCAAATAGCAAATGCAATAGGTGGCATAATATATAACAAACTAGCATCTGGACATATAAACCAAAGTGATTTGCTACAGCTCAATTAAGACATTAGAAATGAGCAATAATGAACTGTCTTCTTACTTCTCTCTTAAAGTCTGAGGACTTCAAATTCACAACTCACTCTCTTTGACCGGCAGGTTAGACTGCAGGACCCAGCGTAGAAAAACCCTTTTGCTTGGAATAATGAATTAATAATTCATGTCTCTATAATCCTTTAAAAGGATGAAAGCTGACAAGAATCAGGATCCAAGTAGATACCTGTGCCGGAATCTAAAATATCTCACCAGGGCTTATCAGACTAAACAAATTCGGTTGGTAAGGAATGCAATGCCTTAGAAAGTGCATTGATTCAGAATTGTCTCATAGGTTTTTATTTGCTTTCTTTTTTTTTAGAAATTAGTATAAACTTTACAAAACAGAAGGGAAAATAAATAAAAAGTTCTAAGGTGATACTGTATCTAGCTTTCTCCTGTGGATAAATTGCTACAATTTGCAAATTCAATACTCACTGAAATGGTGCTACAGACTCTGGAGGCAGTTCGTACGTGGCAAGCCGTGTTGCCTTATTGTAGAAAAACTTTCTGTTAGAGGTTTTGCTGAATGCCATCGTCCAGGGGTCTTTGAAGAAAACCAAGAAGTTGGAATCAAAAAATGAAAGAAGAGAAAGAAACACATCCAAATTTCTAACTGTACTGTTCCTTTGTACCATTCTCAGCAAACAACTTAACATATAAACTATTGTTTGGCTAATACAGCATAAGAACATCAAAATAGAAAAATAGGTAATTTCCGTAGAACAGCAACCACACAATAATCACAGTACAGTACTTTTATTTTTTAAAATTCATAAGCAACCCTGCTTTGAACTAAAAGGTTGTGAGGTGGTTTTGTGCCAGTTACTAATGATGGCTGGCAAGGAGCACAAATAGCATATGAAGAAGCTAATTACAGCAAATATATTTCAGCAGTTTAAAGTTCTTTTCAAGAAAATAAACAGAAGAATCCAAGAAGCTCTCCCTTGGCCTCTAAAATTTTCTATGCATTTTCTACCACCTGAGGTAGGAAGAAAAGACATTAAAATATAATAAGGGGGCAACAAATCAAGAAGGAAATTCATGTTTGTTTTTTCTCATTCTACAAAGCAAAAATAATAAGTGTCCTTACTTCATTTTCTCAACATTGCACACACACACACACACACACACACACACACACGGACATTGACCCAACTACAGTGCTCAAATTCCAGGCCTCAGGCTAGACTATTATATCAGACTTCGCATGAGTAGAAATTGATTTACCGCTGACAGTCCGAACAATGTACAATCCAAAAGGTACAAAATGCCTGTCATCACGACCAGTGTAGGATAGCCGTGGGATTCCACCTGAACTCTTGATAACCTTCATTTCTAACCTAAGTTAACAAACATGAAGAGAAAGAGAGAAAGAATAAGAATGAGAAACAATCAGTATCTTTGCATAAACTGTAAGAATCACATAAGCTCTGACAGTCAATATGATTTGGTAGCAGGTAAAGAGGACTTGGACAAAGAAATCTAGTTTAAATTCTTGTTCAATACAAATTCAGGGTCAGCCAAATCAATTCAATACCTTAGCTCTCTATCACAAATAGTGATTTATCTCAGACAGATGCTGTAAAGATGAAGAAATCATAAGGTGGTTGGGTCCACAATTTTTGGATGAAGCTTGGTACCCTTTTTAAAAAAAAAATAGATTCTACTTTCCTCCAAGTATTGGAGTCTTGTTCCTAACATTATGATGCATTTTCCAAGTTCATCATGAAACCCTTTGATAAAACATGGGTTCTGGTTATGTATTCTGAAGCCTCAAGAACTGCAGAGCTAATAGAAATCCCAGCATCCATCCATAATTTGAAGTGTGAATTTTCTGGTTGCCCAAGGACTGAGTTCAAATTCTTTGGCCATGCCTCCTGTTCCTCCTTAAGGCCAGTTTTTTAACGATCCCTGGAACTGGAAGGTGCGATGAGATGGCGTGGAGATCGTCTGGTGGTCCCGAACCCTGTGCCTGCACGAGCCTTTGGGGCTGCTACCACTGAGCCTTGCCCTTGCCTGCCATCCTGCTCCTCCCTTTGGCCTTGTCCCTGATGTTGGTCCTTGGCGGGCCAGAACTATCATGTCCTGAAGGCCCCGGCTGCTCCGATGTGGTGGTAGGCATCTGTAGGCCAGATGGATTAGCCAGTTGAAGCCCTTTCACAGTAGCCAAGGGAGAAAAGCACTCCCGCTGGGAAACACCACCCAAGCATGCCGCAGGGGTAAAAACACCGCCGCATGGTTCCTGCAACCTCAGCAGCTGCATGGTCACTCTTTGCCTTACTGGCGCCGCTGCGGAAGGTGGTGGCTGCGCGGCAATATCCGGTGGAGAGGTAGAGGATCTGGAGAATGACCACGTGGTGGCCAAAACAACACAGCCACCCGGAAACAAAAATTTAAAGTGTGGGTGGTAGTGGCACTGCCGGTGACCCAGACAATGCCCACACACCACCCAACAGTGATCCTTCAGGAGACAAGCCACGCAGAGAGGCGTCGCCAACAAAAGCGCGCGAAACGGAGGCTTACTATTGGCCACCGTGCGCAGAGGGAGGATGAATCCAAAATGGCAGCTGCAGCCACACTAGCTGAAAAGGGAAAAAAGGATCCCGAACTGGCTATTTTAAAACTCTGAGCAGGGGAAGCTGTCCGCAGCGCCAGACACCCGCTGCGACCCCTCAGCTAGTCAAACCTCCGCCCTTAAGATATGGAGGCAATCACACACACCCTAACAGCTCACTCCTCCCGCTCTCACCTCCATAGCTCAAACCAATTGAAAAAAAATAGAAAGAAAATAACAATGTAAAACAATAAATCTGTGCTCAATTTGGAGAGTCCAAACTGAATTAAATCAAAACAGCTGGAGCTCACTTAAATTCATCCTGAATGGACCAGACTGAATTAAAAAACTAACCTTGAGGAACAGAAGGCGTGGCCAAAGAAATTGAACTCAGTCCTTGGACAACCAGACTAATTTAACCCATGCTTGGACTCTCCAAGCAGCACACGGGAGAAATAACTTTCTCATCCATTTCCAGAGATTAGTAGAACCTTGAGGCCGTTACATTCATTGGAGATTGAGGGAATGCCTGCAAAGGCTTTGAATAAGGGTATTGAGGGACTCAGAATATTATAAAGTATAATAAACATAAAAACTGTGAGAGGAACTAAGGTCAAATTCTTCCATGAATCTCTGCCATAAAAG